GTTTGGATTCAAATCTATCATAAAAACCAAATGATATCATGTATACTTTGCAAATACACTACCGTGGATTTGTAAATCTTCAACTTTAGATTGTAAAATCTATAATTAATCATTTTAAATGAATCAAATCTTTAAAAATCTGATATGATTTAATCATTTTAAGCTATTTTTCAAAGTTGTTTTAGTAATTATCTCATTAATTAATCAACCGACTAATTGACCGGAAGAATATTCAATGAGTTATTCCTATAGATATGGTAAACCAAAAGTTAAATAGATAATTTTTTTTTGGACAAAGTTAAATAGATATACAATAAGTTTCTCTTTTGGCCAAACTGTAATCCCACGCTTCAAAGCTTAGCGTTAAGGGCCACTTTTTTTCTTGTCACCGGCAAATCTCCGTCCGATGGCCTCTCTCCCACTCCCTTGCGAAGAACTTCCTTCTCCGGAATCCGATAGATGTGGTTCTCCGTGTCGATCAGGTCCAAAAAGAAATCATCAGTGTCTACCTCTAGATATCATGCGATTGGTTTTTGAACGCCTTGGCTTTGCCGATCTCGAACGAGCTAAATGCGTTTGTTCATCTTGGCAATCCGCTTCGAAACAATCTAAGCCAAACAATCAAATCCCTTGGATGATTCTATTCCCCAAGGACAAGAATTACTGTCTCTTGTTCAATCCTGAAGAAAAAGACAAGGTTTACAAAACTCAAGATCTTAGCAACGACTTTGGAAAGAGTTTTTGTGTGGCGACTTACAGAAGCTGGCTATTAATGCAACCCCAAAAAGATAGCATGGAAGACTGCCAATATAATCTATATATTTTAGATCTTTTAACTCTTGAAAGAATCAATCTACCGACTTTCGAATCAGAATATGGACTCCCCTCTTCGATATTATGGATAGACGAGAAGACCAAAGATTACATAGTTATAGGAATGGTTGATGAAGAAGATGCGGTTGTTTTCAAGAAAGGAGATAACTCATGGAAACAAATGCCCCAATTGTCAGGTATCGAAGGATGTTTTAACATGGTATACAAGAATCATAAGCTTTATTGTCTCAACAATCGTAAGCTCATGATTTTTGATTTTTTCTGGAAAAAATCCAGTGAAAGTTTTCAAAATTAGTGTACGTGGATGCATACTAATAGTATCAGGACTTCGCATGAGACCTCCTGGAACTCTTCCAGATGAAGTATCATTTGCTCACTCTAAGAATAATGTGGTAGTCACTGTTGGTGGAGATATCTTAATTGTTACGAGCTTATGTCAGTATATGTCCAAAATATGGAAGTTTAGAATCTACAAGATGGATTCGTCAAAGGGGAACAAATGGGAAGAAATTTTTTCTTTGGGAGATGAGGCAATTCTTTTGGATTTGGGTATCACAGTGATCGCCAAGGATATTGAAGGGATCAAGGGAAATTCGATCTACTTCAAGGGCAATGCTTTTGAAGGTGGATATGACGAAAACGATATATTCATATTCAATATCGATACAAAAAAGGTTGAACAACCACACCAATTTGTTTGTTCGTCCGTTCCATGCTATGATGCGCGATGGTTCTTACCAAGTTTCAAACGAGAATGATTGATCTTATCTTAAGTAATTGTTTAATATTTCGCAACATTTTGGTAATAGTTTTCTTCTAATAGGGGGTTTGTAAAGAATCTCATTTGGCAACATTTGTTTTTAAAAATAAGAAAGAGAAAAGTTTAAGGGATTTTAATAAAAAAAAAAAACCTCTCAAGTATTGTTGATCCATTTTAATCTCCTCTATTAAATTATTAATGTAAAATTCCCTCAACTAAAAATATTTAATGAAAAACCCCTCAAGTATTGTTTGATCCATTTTAATATCCTCAACTAAATTATTAATGTAAAATCTGCTCAACTACAATATTTTAATGAAAAACCATCGACTAAAAGCTTAATGAAAAAATCCCTAAAGTAAAGTTTCAATAATGAAAAAAACTTCTCCTTTGATAGTATAGTAATATAGGGAGAAGAAATAAAAGTAGATGTAAAAAGACGGATCTGTGTATCAGAAGATGATGAAAGAAATTTTTTGTGAAAATGTGTTAGAAAAAAATTTGATTATATTTCAGAAAAATACATGCATAAGACTAATATAAAATTTTTTATATCGTATTCATTATTTAAAATAAATAAGTTTTCATAAAATACATAACATGTATTATTGGACCGATAAAGTCGAGCGCATTCGTTTCACTAAACATTATCCTATCAGAATATTCACTGGATTTGAGGGATAAAACATTTCCAAACTCATTGTAACATTATGAGTATTTCGTTCATACTTTTGAAAGAAATAATTGCTTATATTTGACACATTCACATTTAGTGTGGGGTTGGGATACTATTAAGTCAATGGTCAACATTAATACCTTAATACATTAAAACTTCCTAGAGATGTCCTTATAATACTTTAATATAAAAATAATTTTCTTCAGATAAAGAATCATGGGATTATCACCAAAGCTGTCTCCTCTTTTTCACGATATTTCTAATTTATGTTGGTTATCACATGACACTTACCAATTCATTGACA